AAAAAGAATGTACCGCTAAATTTTACCTTTCTAATGAAAGCTGTTTTGATAACCAATGCACTTAGTTTCCAAACAAAATTTCAATTTTAAATTCAGCTATGATATGCGAAACAGCGTAGTGAAGTCCTTACATGGAAACTTTCACTCTAAGCGAAACTCATACTAAAATAATTTATTCGGCTTTCTTATTACATCAAAATGGAAACAATTAAAAAAAAGTTATTATGAATGTTATTAGTTCACTTTATAAATAATTTCAAAAAAACAGTCAACAAGTTTAAATTTTTTTATTCCGTTAACCTTTTTATAAAGCGAAAATACAAAATGCTACTCATTTCAATGCCAGAGCGAAACTCGTATGCTGACTGTATTTAAATTCAATTATTTTGTTAAATATTAATATTCAGTGTGCATAACATTGTTGTTTAGTACCATTTTTATTCTATTTTGCAAACTCTGAACAAGTTTTTCGCAACAACTTGGCTCAATTTTCTGCCATTCGCCCTGACGAACTCTCTTCAAATCGCACTTGGAACTTATCTTGTGCTGAGATAATTTTTCTTTCGAGATAGCTGCACAAATTCTTGATAGGATTTTGCATGTGGACTCGGGGACAAAAGGATCGCACATTGTAAGCCTCATCCTTGGTTTCATTGACTCGATAAAAATTCTAATCTACGCGGAGACCACACTTTTCTTTGTAAATGAGAAAACTTTCTTTCAAAATATTAAGGTACACGTGCTTATCCTAATGCCCTGCGAGAATAAGCATATACGTTTGTTTACACTTCTCAATAAAAATTGCCTGAGAATCTGAGAATAAGCGTATTATCTATGGTGCCTTTAAAAAATAAGCACATTATCTATGGTGTCCAGACGTAGAAAATGACTATTACCGACCTTATTAGATCTGACTCTGTCATACCGAAGCTTGGATGTCAAGAATTATATAAGAAACTTGGGAAGCGAAAAAAAGTGCTACCAAATTATTTTATAACTAAAAAAGAGCTACCAGAGGTCGTTAATAGCGAAAGAAATTTTTCATTTGAATCAAAGCCGACAGTTGCGCTAGACATTTCTGACATAACTACTGATGATGGCATTTTTAATCTCGTTCGTGATAAACGTGCTCGCTTGTTACCAAGTGGCGATGAGTGGTAGGGAAATTAATTTTTATTCCCATTTTCAATTTTTTAAAGTTGTGGAACATATTCCCAAATTTAGCATATGTCGCGCGTATTTTTTTAAAAGATTTTTTTTGTACCTATCTGCCGTATAACGAAAAATTTGTGTGTATTGCTCACCATTAACGAAGAAAATTGTGTTGTCATCTACTTTTAATTTACAATCGACTCTTTTTTCCAGTTTTCTGCCGCTTTATTATATATTGAATGGTCGAGCGATTTCGATTTACTAACTTGAATATCTTTCGAAGCGATTTTTTACTTCTATGATGTTGAGATATTAATTATCTTGCGTCAACACTGGTTTGCCTATTCGTCTTCCCTATGTGCTTTTTTGTTATCCTTTTTTAAGTAATGACACAATCAATCGGGCTTCCCCCAAATACTTTTCTCGTAAAAACCTGAATTAAAAACAGCTTTGCCTTGCCAAATTTAAGGATATCTAAGAAGAATACAATATTTGTTGAAGGGAGAGTTAGCAGTAAAAGAATATTTAAGTTGAGCAGTTGAAAATATTGCCAAAAATAAATTGTGAATAATCCTACATTTAAGGAATATAATTGTAAATAAAACAACTTTAAAGTGTATTTCTCTTCAACAAAATTTTCGCGATCCAGTGATACGGACTGTATCTTGGAAAAGCGAATTTTATAATAATATATTAGATTAGATTAGCGGCATTTCATTTATCTCAACCCAACAGCATTGCAATGTGTTTACATTTAAATTATTGCGACCTCGTCTCTGAAAAACAGGAACGGACACAATGAGCATATGAAGAACGAGATAATTTACATATGTGTAATCTATTACTCTTATTTCGCTTTTTTTTTTCGTTGTTGTGCTATCAAGTTGTGTGTGTGTGTGTGTGATAATAAATTTTAAATAATTTCAATTTATTTACATTTTGTTTATTTTAAATAATATACATACGAAAATTCTCGTTTGGGTAACTGGGCCGTCATCCTGTAAATAAAGAAAGTTATAAACGCTTAATAATATATTTTATATGTATATGTATATGTATATATATATACATATATATCGAATTTCGAATCGAATATCGAATTTATTGCTAATTAATAGCAAAAAACGTTTAAACACCAAAACATTTGAGAAATATTCATTACTTTTCGTCGTCGTTCGCGGTTATGAGAAACGATAGAAATTGGATTTGTGTTTAAAATCCTTAAAGGTGAAAATTTACTTAAAGCTTAGTTCAGATCGTGCGAGAGTATTGAGCTGAGTATATCCGATTCGCAACCGTCTTTCTTCACCGACCGCCGTTACACAAGAACACAATTGGCATCTTACCCGAATTTTATATATGAAAAGTTTTCCAATTCACAGCAGTCATGACAAGGGCCTCAGAATCTAATTGATTCACTAATTTCTTTTTTTACTGGCATTAGCAAATGGATAACTTGTTAATCTATTACAATGTTTCTTCTAGCATTCAGTTAAGATTTTGAATAAAAAAACAACGCCTAACAAACCAATATAACAAGTTTATGCATGCATGCATAGCGAATATACAAGTTTCGAATTTGAATTTTTTATAAATATATATAAAAAAAAACAAACTTTTGTTTTTAAATTTATTAATAATTCATTCATTTACGTACATTTGTATATATAATATGTATTTGCTCTTATCAACCAATGCAATAATAATGTAAAAAAAGCGGTTTTATAATTTGGTTCCCGTACCAAGGCATTGCACAAACTATTGTTGTTAAGTATCTTGACGATTACGTGAGAACGTTTAGAAGACAAATAAATATAGTTTATAAACAAAAAGAATAAATTATTTTATAAAAACCCAAAGAATGCGAAAAAGGAGAACTTGAGAAGAGCCCATAAGAACGTCGAGGAAAAAAGAACACAATAATGAACACTTATATGCATGTGTACAGAAGTTTACGTTAGTTTGTAACAAACGAGCAGGGGGATCACAAATATTTTGAGAACAACCGTACATAAACATTTCCTCCAGTGGTGAAAACTTCCACGTAAAACGTTTGGATAAAATTGGATTACATTGAATCAACATACCAAGTGTAAAATGTACCAAATCAGAAGAGAAAGGGGCGAACATATCCATCAATAACATTAATATGAACTCTGGTGGATACACCACTACGAATGTAATAATAATTCAGAAAGTTGCGCATAATATTGAAAAAAATTTCCGCCATCCAAGATGAATGCATGATGAAGCTTCCTTTTCCTTAATATTGGATATGTCATATTCATATCTACTTTGAACTATTTTTGTTCGCAGTTGACAAATCAATTAATATACCCTACTTGCGGTCAGGGCATGCTTAGTTTAAGCGTACATATGCAACAACCAGAAATACTTGAAGTGCCAATCATTCGTGAAAAACAATTCCGGATCGATTCAAGCATGTCTGTTCATCTGTCTGTCTGGTGTCCATCTCCATTCGCCGAGCACAGAGGTGTTTCAGCATTAGGACGAACGCTATTGAGATAGTATTTGATTAGATTATATTTAAGGCAATCCCCGTATAAACTACTATTTCGATAAACCATTGTAAAAGAATTTTTCAGTTTGGCAAACAAAAAAAAAATATTAATTTATTGCGATAATCCTTTAAAAGACAACAAATTATAACTTTTTTTTATTTTATTGTATTTTGATATTTGGATTGAAATTATGTCGAGTTATTTAGCTTTTTATTTTTCTAATCAAAACTTGATAAGATTTTCACATCCATTTACAATAAATTTTCAATTATTCGGTCAAAATATTCCATCGTATAGTAACTAAACGTTCTCTTTTGGCTAAGAAACTGAGCTTCTTCTGCAATCAATTTGAACGTTTCCCATGTAGGTCCAGTTTGCTTGACCTTCCGAATACACAAAACATTGCCGTTCGTCGTTCTTTGAAAAATTTAATTTTCTTGACTATAATACGGAACTTTCTGTCGTGGCTTAGCGATCACTTAAAAATCTATTTTAATATCAAAAAAATTTCAATGATTTAACTCGTTCTCCAATATAAAATTACAATAAAGGAATTTAATATATATATATATATATATAATAATAAATAATAATAACAAAAATATAATGTATTGCTTTAAGGATATTAAGTATCCTGAACATTTACTAAAAACAATTTAATTTTCAACAATATTAATTTACGCATTGGACCTGTAGCAACTATAATAATTTATTCAATAAATATCTAAAGGTGTCAATCGCCTTCAGTTTATTACATTATTGATTAATATAATTTGCACGCAAATATTCGTATTAATGTATTTATTATATTCACCTAACAACAGGGTGGCAGGTGCGAATTTGTTAGCTTTTTGCTTTCCTAAAAAATTCTTATCTAATAACCGATATTTATATTTATATGTACACGTTGATTGAGTAAATCGAAATTGTAACACTTTCAAATAGTTTCCAATATCAAATTATTATAAAAAGATATTTCATTATCAGCTCTAGCAATTTGGTTCAATAAACTTGTTCATATATTCTTACAAAAACAACAAATCACTAACTGCCTCTTATTTAATATTGATTAAGTGTACATCTATACACATATACACACACTGCTCTATATATATATAGAAATATATTATTAATATAATAAGCAAATTTTTGTATATATATACGTGTGTGCACATTTATTATTGAATTTTTTAGCAAAGTATATTAATAGTATATTAATAGTAAACGCTACAATACGGATATATTTATTTAATTAAATATGAGTTAAATGTTCTGCAAAATTTCTATCTTCCGAAAATTTTAATGCCAGCAACAACAAGAATATATTTCCATCAATTTTTTTCATATTCAATTTACGTAATTTGTCTAAAACATGGGCCATACAGCCAAGCACAAGCATATATATATTACGTGCCAACACATTTAACACGCTTATATTACATTTATTCCGTTGTCCATGAGAAAATAGAAATCACGTCAATCAACGGTTACGATTGTCGCATATTAACTTTTCTTTATTATTACTTTTCACTTACTTGATATAATTTGATTTATTTATTTTTTTTTGGTAATTTGGTTAATTAATGTCGTTAAAATTGAAACTCGTTGCTTTTTAGAATTTTGAAGATTTTAGTGATTAAACTTTCCGAAAGATTATTTTTAATTTTTTTAACATAAATTTAGTTATATTTTATAGAAATTTGTAAATTTCACAAAAACACAATTCCGCTCATCAAGAGCCAAGACAAACTCTTAACTGAGCTCTAACACAATAATAAGCAGTGTTGATAAAAAAACATTGCTATATGAATAAGGAAGTATTGCCAAGCGCAAATTTTTTGCTTGACTGTAAAATACTGAAAGCAGTGCTATGAAATACTTACACTTTTGAAAAGTTTTAAAAAATTGTCAAAGTAGTTAGTAAAATGTTAATATTTTAAGTTCAAGTATTTTTGATATACCTAGATGCGAGAAACGCTCTTCACATCTGTCAAGTCACACATAAGCAACACAGTTCACGCCTTGCGTTAGTATTTATTGTTACGAGTTAGTATTAATATATTATTCGTCGTAATATTCTAAACGCTTTAATTCAAAAATATCAGATGCAATCAAAAAAAATCTCTCTCTCTTTTTACACCGAAAAGAGCAATTTTCAAATAACTGGTTTCCATCCAGCAAAAGAAATTCTTAGAAGTTCGCAACGAATATCTCGAGTAATAGAAATTAGCGGAATTGAAACAGCTTAAATCACTTTCCTTACCTAAATATAACGTACTCACATACATGCGTATGCGCATTGATGTTTATTCAATTTTTTATGTTTTTCATTGATGTTTATTCAATTTTTCAAGCCTCGCATTGATTTTTATTGAATTTTTTATGCCCCGCATTGATTTTTATTCAATTTTTCATGTTTTTTATTAATGTTTATTCAATCTTTCATGCCCTG